CCCGCACTCCCCCAGAGCCTTTTACATTGCCAGCAGCTTTATCTGCTAGTGGCACTGAGGCTTCCCCTCCACATGCTTTTAGACCCGTTTTCGACCAAAAGATTCCTTATTTAATAGACACTTCCCAAAGGCATGAAGAAAAGATTTACTAGAAGTAGCTGAGTACTAAGCTAGTAAGCTGAGTATGAAGTAGCATTCTAGGAAGAGTTTCAAGACTGGACTTACATAAACTGTGCTCGCTAGTACCACAGAGGAGCCAAACAACAGGGCTACTACCAGCCCCTTGACTGCAGAACAGTGAAGAAAACAGCCACAACCATTAGAAAAACCTAGCAAAAAAAAAAATCAGTTAGTCTTATAATGAAAACAACCAGAGGAAGAGGACCATGGTGTGTTAGACAGAGGTTGCATTTTATATCCTGGACATCAAGCTTTCGGTTCTCTCATATTACTTGTGTACAATCTGATTAATATTTTACCAATGAAACACCAGTGTGTATTACTGAGGGTAATGCCCTCAATATCTGCAGAAATCTATACTTACAAGTTAAATATAATATTTGGACACCTCATGGTAACATCTTCTAGTTCATTAGCCAATGTGCACTTTGTTCTGAAGCAGGAGAGCAAACACGTTCGACAGATTTAATCATGCTCAAGAAAACCTATGGCCTAGTGCCACCAAAAGGAGAAGAATGGAATTACTCTAGGTGTAAAGGAGGATTAAAAAAAATAAAGAAAATGGAAGCAATTCACAAAATTAAATTTATGTAACAAGGAGACAAATTTAGTATTTTAACCAGGATGCAAGTCTTTGAAAAACAAAAACGCTGAGCATGAGGATTTGCAGGAGCCAATCTCCCTGTTTCTAAATGTTTTGAAACTGTATGGATTAGGAGGAGGTTATGAAAAGGTAATAGTAGTAGGATAACATGATCCTCTACAAAGCAAATCTACCATTTTAGAAAGAGGTGGGGTTATTTCTGTACGTTCTGCAGAAAAAAAACCCACAAACATGGAAATGAAGAGGAAAGGGTGCTTCAGTGACCAAAAAGGCCTGGTTTCATGGGAGAAGATAACTATTGTAAACTATCAGATTGATAAAAATATTGGGGGAAAAAACAGTCACAGGGCAGACAATTAACCAGCATCTACTCCATCCTTCTCAGAGAGGTATCATCAGAACCTTCCAACAGATGCAGGAATCATCACGGAAGCACAACACAATAAAAGAAAGGTCCCTGCATAAAGCAGCGTTCCTACACACTGCACGGGGAGAGGGAATTGGAGAGCATTGGCACAACTATCCCACCCTTACACACGAGCAATGCACCGCTACCAGCAAGGGCACAGCCCTCAGGAGAAGGGCCTCCCCTCACCTTTTCTACAGGTGGAGCAGTTTTACAAATGAGGCAGTTTTGCCAAGGTTAAAGATCACTTATCTGCCTTCCTCAAAAACACTTTTTTTGTAAGCTTAGTGATGCAATATGCTCAGAGACAGATAAACTACAATACTATAACAAGCACCGTACATATACACACAGACACACCCCAGAAAGGATTTAAGGATTCTTAAGTATTGTTTCTTCTTCCGTAACAGAAACATTACAAGGTCCTTTATCCCTAAGGAAAAGGTAACATTACAGTGCACAGCTTTCACTAGTAAAGCAGAATGGTAAGTTCAACCCAGAGAAAGGGTATGAAGGGGAAAGAAACCAGCCATAAGCAGGCTGTATCGAGACAGTGTTTGCCAATAAAAAACACAGGAAACCCCTTCAACCAATTACACTAATTTCTAACACATCAAAAGGGTGATTTATGCTCAGACTGATTGATGTTAAGGGATCACTATTCAGAAGGCATGAAATACTACAGAAATTAGATGGCCACGAGGGTAATGAACCTCCCCATTTCTGAGCAACAACTGGCTACTTATCTGTGTCAAGATAAGACTGTCAAGATTCCCAAAAGCAGGCAGGAATTCCCAAAAATTGGCATCACTCATCCCAAGAAACTCAGGTGTTTGCATTCCTTAGTCAGAGAACAATACAGAACAGCTAAAATAGCCACCTACCTTTCAACTAGGCAAAGAAGCTGGGCTCCTAAATGAGGTCTATGTCCTCCAAAAAACATATCTGGTGCAATTAGGTATTATCATTAATGGACACATAAAAGTTACCTGTCTTCTTCGGAATTTCAAACACATATCACTGCCCCAAAAGGCAACAGCCTGCATGAACAAGTACTCTGGCCTTCTGTTGTTATTCTGCTGTTCATTTCCCTTATCAACACCCAGAGCAGGAAGGCAAAAATAAATCACATGGAGAAAATGCAAGTATTGTTATTAACATTCTCATCACGCGGGACATGGTGTTTCCCCAGTGCCTAATGGATTTCACTCATGGTAAAACAAAAACAAAACAAAAAAAACACGGCCAGCTAAGCCACACGTGACCAAAGACTAAAATGATACAAAAAAAAAAACAAAAACAAACAAAAAAAAAACTTTCTAAGATTATTATTCTCAGCAGATCCAAACTAATACTTCCCAAAACTTTATTCGCACAAATACTTTAATTCACATTACTTTACATCACTCCATGTTCATTTTGATTCACACAGATACTAAGAGTGTGCCCAGCAGGACCAAGTTCTTTGGTTCTCAGCTGCCTGGGGGGTTTGATTCACTAACCTGCAGGGCAAAGATGACAGTGCCCTGATCCTCTGCCACCCACCACATTCAAACCCGGGGAAACGGCTCACATCGTATTTTCTGTGTGATGGCTTCAGATGAGTCTGTTCACTTGGTAGACTGAGATTTGTAAGCCAGATTTGTAAGAACTGACAAGAAGGTATCCCAAATAACAGCTAGGATATGGATGTTTCCACCAGAGATATGAAGGAGAAAAAAATTAAGCCTGCTTTCCTCTACATTGATATATGTGAAAAGTGGCCCTTAAAATCATCAGAAAGTCATGGAAATTTTTTAGGGTGCTCTAGATAGGAATTTCTGAAGGAATCCATCATACTCGGATATAACTTTCTCTAAAGGACTGACTAGTAAGTAGCAGCCCCAAGCGTACACACACACGCACACTCTACATGAAGCTTATCTACTGCTTATCTCAACAACAAAGCTCCAAAGCAGGTCAAACAGCATAAAAAGTGACAATTTCCTAGGATTTTCATCCACAAGGAGCTGAACACTAAGCATGAAGATCACAAGACGCTCCCAATAAATGTGAGATGCCACTTCATGTTGGAAGGCACGACTTGGTAACCCTCATTACACGCGTAGCACACAAGGAACACAGCATATGACCATATTCCTCACTGTTACTGTGACAAAACGTAAATATCCAGCGAGTTTAATCATCTGTGTTTCCTGAGGCCTGAATTTACAGTCCAAAACAGTTTGGATAAGCACATCTTAACACTACTTGAACAGGAGTCGTCTTTGAGAAACACAGGCAACACCAGAAAGTTGGAAGTGCTGCAAGCATCTTTCTCTGTGGTTCAGCTGAAAATGTTCTTTCACCAGTTTCATTAAATAGTAAAAACCTTCATAGAAGCAAAGAATAATTACTAGCATCCTCACAAAATTCCAAATTTATCAACTACACTTTGCCAACCTTATTTTTTTTTCTTGTTATTTCCCCTGGATGTCACATTCTCTTTCTTCTGGTCTCAAATACATCATTTTGTCTGAGTAGCCGTCTCGTTTCAGCAATGACTGCTATCTATGGAGACACGTGTGAACATGGAGAAAATAAAGCTTGTGCTGCATTTGGGGATTACTTATATTAAGTTATTATGGTTTATCTGAAGGTAATACACTGCAGGAGTAGAAAACAATGAGGAAAAACTACTTGCATTTCCTAGTTTCCTGGTCTATCTCTTAGGGTTAAAGCACCTCAGGGAAAAAAAAAAAAAAAGACAGTAACAAAAACAGGTGAGTCAAACATAAGCATCAGATCTACAGAAAAGATTACCAGAGAAGGGGAGAAAGAATAGCCCAAGAGAACTGGACTCATGCAGAGTTAGAAATGAAAATGATTTCAAAAACAGAAGTGAGAAGTTAAATCAAGAACGGAATGGGAATCAACAGCAAAATGTTGAAATATCCCAAACAGCAAGAAATACTAAAACTCACAATGGAAAAATAGAGGAAGTTTTAGTTTCTTATCATATATAAATATGGTACAGCAGAAAGTAATTTTCTTGATGATTCTGAGATTGTCAAATAGCACAGAAAACACCCTGGCTTTTAACCACACTACAGACCACACTGGGCTTTGCCAGTTGAGGTCCCCATGACCCATAAGAGGGACAGGGAAACAAGCAGTGAGGTTAATTCTGTGTTCCCAGCCCAGAATATCAGCAGCAAAACACTTTATGATGGAGGAAACAACACGCCTCACTTCTGTCCCACTCCTCTTTCCTCCTCAGATCTTTACATCAGGCAAGCTAAAACTCTCAGGAATTTCATAGCAATTCCATTCTCCCCAAGCCAGAATTTGATAACCCGGTAGGAAATCACGTCTGCTGAGGTGGTTGACTTAAAGCACGAAGGAAAAAGAAGAAACTTCGATTTAAGGCGGCATATTTCACGTAAGCAGTTCCCTACGCTCCTGAAGAATAGGGAGGCTAAGGAATACCATGAAACCGGCACCAGGACAGGCTGCACTCGCTCCTGAGCTCAGTGCCAGTTCACTTTGAAAGTCAGTCGCTATCCCTGAGCTTCAAGCAGCAGACGGTCCTATTAACCTACTGCTTTTTAATGCATGCTCTCACCCCGAGGCAGCCTCCATACAGAAGTAGCTGTAAAAATATGGAAGCTCGGTGCTCTTAAAGATATATATATGGAAACTAGCTCTCCGCCTGGAAACGGGACTAAAAGCTAAGCGCCAACCCAACGCAGTGCCAGCACCCGGCGGGCACCACCAATAGCTCTGTCACCGACTCGCGGAGGGCCGGGGGTGCCGGCGCGGCGGCGCTACCTGCAGGAGGCCGCCCATCTTGGCGCGCAGCGCGCGGAACTCCTCCGGCGCCGCCTCGGGGTAGAGCTGCCCGCGCAGCAGCTCCTCCGTGACGCCCGGCTGGCCGTTCGCGTACGGCGGCGGCGCGGGGCCAAACCGCGCAGCGCCTTCGCCAAACGCAGGAATGAGGCGGAAAAAAGGGAAGCAGGGGCGGCTCTGCCATGGGGAATTTTATTTAACCAAGGATCACCAAGTCATTGCACGTTTATTACCGATTTATCACCGAGAGGCGTGCCAACGCGCGGAGCAGTATTTTTCCCATTCCCGGCACGTTTCAATCTTTTCAATCAAGATACTTGTGATTTAAAAAACGAAACAAAACACCCAGCAACCGCAAGGGAATGACGCGGCTGGATAAATTAAATTTCTGCACTGTAAACAGTGTTCCCTGAAGAAACAGTGTCCAGCTCTTCTGAAATACCCAGATATTTTGAGGACATTTCCTAAGATTTGCACTATATCCCTTTGATGATGCAAGGTGCAGGGCAGCCCACAAAACTTGGTGAGAGCTCAATAAAAATCTTTTTTTTTCTGTGCACCTTTCTGTACAAATTTAAATATAAAAATTATTAAAATGTTTTGTATATACAAGCATATACAGTCACAAAAGAGACTGTGTGCTCCTAAAAGAGGTGTCTACAGTAAATTTTCTTCTGCTAATACAGCAGTAACTTGTATCACCCGATTGCAATTATTCAAGCCCTTCACAGTTGCACTCTTTTCTATGACATGCAAGAGTCATCACATGTAGCTCTAAATTATGAAACAAATTAACATGATTGATATGATCTGTTCTGCCTCATCCTTTATTCCAGACCTTTCTGGGAGGAGGGAACAGGCAAAGGATGCCTGAGCTGCCACTGTCAGAGCAGGGTCACAGAACAACTCTGGAAACTAGAGGCACAGGAAGATGTAACAGTTCGTGCATCTAAGTTTTTTTCCACCCTTTCCATTAATTTGGACAATCTTTAAAATGTCTTTTTTTTTTCTCCAGTGGCATTAAATAGCACCTTTAGAAGCCTAAAAGGAACTGGAGATACAGTTGCTTTTTTAATCACTAGAAATTATTTGCAATCACTAGAAATGACATGGGGAACATACTTCCATATCTAACTTGGGTACAGATTCATCGTGGCACACACTAGCCATTCTGAGGATCAAAACTCTTTTTTGATGAGTATCATTAACATCTTATTTAGAAAGAAAAAAAGAGGAGGGAGGACATAACATCTATGTGAACTATCTGTATCTACAGAGAATATGAAGTCAAACTTGCCATCATTCCAGTTCAAATTTCTGAAGATACTGTTTCTTTGTGATGTCTTCTTCCGCAGAAAGCTGGAGTAAGTCCTGGATCCTAACAAACAGTGCCACTTGCCTGACTTAGGTGGAGGCACAAAAGCAGAGTTGCTCTTAGAAATGCTTTTTTCTGCTCATGATCTCAGTCTGTTCAGTGCCTTGCCAAGAAAGCTGGTGAAAAGTGCTTATTTCTAGCTTCTGAAAACAGTAAGAATTATTCAAAATGCACATGGTAGCAACCACTAACCTGTCTTTAAGTATATTATTTATTTGTTTTTGTAAACAATCTCATTTTTAAACAAATTAAAAATACATTGAGAAATCTTTCTATATATACACAGTACATATTCAAACTTCATTTCATTGTGATGATGCCATGGTTCAAACAGAAGAGTTCTTTATCAAAACCCCAGTGATTACAACCATCTTCTGCAGTACAGCAAACCGTGCTGCCGAGGCCCAGTCCTTTCATTTGTTATTTATCACCTGAACTGTTTTTCGGCCATAGTGGTAATAGCTATACGCAGATGATATCGTTGTGAAAGCTGTGATGCACCTTTGGGGAAAATAATTCTTGTAAATCATTTAAGTATGGCAATGAAAAATCACATTTTTACGTGTCTTCCTATTGTTCTCCACACACAATGACACCATACACTATAGAAACAGAAGTTCCAGTTTATATACTGAAATTCAGCGCTAATTAGAGAATGAAATGAATTGTCATCCAGTGATCTGTAGTGTGCTTCCATTCAGTTATATACGAGGTTGAATTTTTATCAAATTAACACTTGTTTTGAGAGAAGGGAGGACAAAAGTCTGTTTCTGTATTTGTAGCCTACACAATTTTTATCAGCTTGAGAACTGACTGATACAAGAAACAGACCCTTGGTAGCAGGAGAGGGGAGCATCCAAACAACACAAGACTCAAAATTGTTGTTATTTTAACATGCTCAAAGCTAAAGCAAAAGCGTTGGCTTTAGCCTGTTTTGTTCCCTTCCCAGAGGCTAGGTTAGAACCACGGACATTTCTAAATGTGTCCGTGTCTCCTTGCACCAAGTCCTGCCCCTCTGTTACCACTGCCATCATCCAACGCGTGGGCAGGCTCATCCACTGCGTTTTTTTGAGGGTGTTTCCAGAGTATCCTGCTAAGTTATGCCTAGCATTTCTCTGTTACTCACTATATGTGAACTCTCTCATAGAGTCCCAGCGCAGGAGCAAGGTAAGTGTCTTTCACAGAAGCGATTCCAGATTAGGCTTTCCAAAAGGATGAAAAACACATTGGCTGTTAAGATAAAGGTACCTAGCTCCTTACAAGCTTTTTTTTTTTTTTAATAACAAAAAAAGATAAACTAGACACTCTGCTATGTTAAACTAAGTTACCAGATAATTTTGCCAAATGCTGCTCAGCCTTATTTTGTAACCCTACAGAACTGCTGGTGCAGTTTGTTAACGCTTGCCATCAGGTACAATTAATTAAGATTTTCTGTGACAGCAGTAAAAGGAAAGGCCGTTATTTAAAGCGCACTTCTGTATGCCTGTTTTCTTAAGATCCCCTCCCTCATTTGCTACAGTCTAGCAAAAACCACTGATTTCTTCAGGTGCTTTTCTAAAGCGGCTTCAGAAATCTAATTTTCAGGACAGCAGGTACAGCATGAAACAAGAATAAAATATTTCCCTGTGCATTTTTCTTCATATCACAAACATTTACAGCATGATAATAAACAAATATACAGCCTTTCTTCCCACTCTCTTCTTTTATACTAATATGGGGGTATTCTTTGATACAACTATGTCTGTTCTTAAGACTTTATCCTTAGCTGTTGTTCCTGGATACTAATTGATTTTATTTGACTATTTTTTTCCTTGTACAGTAAATTACATACCAAAAAATATCTCAACTCGTTTGTCAGTCAAGAATAAATCTGGAAGGATAAAATTGAATGGATGGGCCTGTGACATCATTTGGTCATAGCTTTTTGCTCCATACCATCAGAGTTAATCACAAGGGTCAGATTCTTTAGAAATATGCTAAATATTTGAGAAAAAAAGAAGTTACCATAATGTCTGCAGATATATGCTGTCCACATAATTGAAAACAGGAGCTGCTAAAGAAGCTGCCAAAAAAATTAGCTGAACC